TGTAACACCCTAACCCGGTCGGGGACTACTTTTACTAAAATGCCCTTGATAAATAAAATACTCAAATCTTAAATTGCAGCTGGAAAATTTTTACTAAATAAAATACTGAAAACACGCACTTGTAGTTCAAAGCAACGCCCTAACACGTGGGCAATCTCAATACTTAAAATCTCAAAATGATCTCCAGTCTGTACTCATAATCATAAATGTAAATAACTAATAATCTCTAATGTTGTTGCTACTGAAAACCTTGACTAAGCATCCTCCGTGACGCTTATACTGCCCTCCTCTAGCTGGCTGCCTCAAACTCGCTGCTCACTAACTTCTCCTCTAGCTCCTCCTCTAGCTCTTCAAACTGGTGAGTGAGATGGGGTCAGTCTATGCCCTTACGTTTACAATTTCTACTTCTTAGTACCTTACTTAAAATACTTACTTAAATTGGTGGAAGTTGTTTGTACTTCTACTCTTAAAACTGTATGGGAGTTACTGTTACTCTCCATCCTTAAATCTCAAAGCTTGACTTAAATACTTGACCGACACGGGGATCCCTCACTAGCTAGCCCAGTTGCCCAACTCATACGTATGAGAAGCCATCCAGACTTTCCTTAAACTTAAACTTATCGTGGAAGGCTCTTCTTCCACGATTCTCAAGAGCATAACTGCTGCTCATCTTAAAATATCTCAAGAGCATAACTGCTGCTCATCTTAAAAGTCTCAAGAGCATAACTGCTGCTCTATCTCAAAATCTCAAATGACAACGGACTGGCGCTAGAACTAAAAACTCTTAAAACAATTTCACCTTCTTGACGGTGAGTTACTTCTAAAAAAAACTTGTTTCTTAAACTTTAACAATAACTTATAAACGTAAAGGTTTAAAGTAAATAATAACTCATACACATTCACTTCAAACATAACTCAAACAAAATCACATATCATCAACCATAAGACAATCAACCAACGACAATCACTTCATCAAAATACTTAAAGCTCGTAATACTTGAAAGAACACGTAAGGCGTGGAATTTACCCCCTTTATACTCACCTTACTTTCGTCGGAACTGGCTCTGATTTCGCTCCAAAGTTTCCAAACTCGCTTCCAACCCCTATTATACTCGTACTTGCTTAAATGGAGCAGCTTGCCTGGCAAATGGAATTATTGGACGCCCGTCATTATTGGACGCCCGTCCAGATGAGCAATAACAAAAAGACGAGCTTGCTTAGGGAGGACAGCGGAGATAACAAGAAGACGAGCTTGCTTAAGCAAGCAACTCTCGTAATAGGAGGGAGATTCATATCATCCACAGCGGAGATAACAATACCCATTACCACGACAAGAGCTTGCTCCCTTCTCCGATGGCGCGCCGTTTTTTCCTTGACTTCCCGAGCGGAACTGCCTGTCCACCCCCATCGTCCAGCAATGACGAGGAGATTATCGAGAGCGGATCCAGTGACTAAGGGGGGGGTGCTTAGTCACTTGACTAAGCCCCTCCCAGCCCTTAGATCTGGATACTTCAATCCAATTGTTAAAAAGTGGGAAGGGCTATTTAATTAATGACAGGGGTAGTTTGGGTATTATGGAAAATTACGAAGTATACAAACCGGATTTACAATCAGTACAAACCATACAAACATACGAACAGTACAAACTAGAGCGACAAAACATACAAACAGATTTACAAACATTACAAACGTATGAACTGTACAAACAATACAAACTAGACCGACAAACAATACAAACCATACAAAAAGAAAAAACAACCGGGTTGACTTTCGAGGCTCCATCCCTATATAGAGGGGCTCCTTCCCAAAGTCAACCCGGGTGTTTTTTAGACATACAAACAGTACGAACATGGTGGACAAAAATGACAAACTAGACCGACAATTCATACGAAGGGGAAAAAACACCCGGGTTGACTTTGGAGGCTCCATCCCTATATAGAGGGGCTCCTTCTCAAAGTCAACCCGGGTGTTTTTTAGACATAAAAAACATTACGAACATGGTGCACAAAAATGACAAAGTTTACAAACATAGTGCACAAAAATAACAAAGTTTACAAACATTACAAAATATGTCAACAAACATCACAAAAGCAGCACCGTCGCCGGGAAATTCTTCTCCGGCGACGATGTTCGTCGGAAAAAAAAATTACGACCAAAAAATCTCTCTCTCTCTCTCTCTCTCTCTCTCTGTGTGTGTGTGCGCGCGTGCGGGCGCGCGCAAAGCTTAAAAATGGTGCCCCAAAAAGGCACCACCTCTCTCTCGCAGCGCAGCAAAGCATAAAAATGGTGCCCAAAAAGCCACCGTCCCTCTCGTACAGCAAAGCATAAATGGTGCCCAAAAAGCCACCGCCGGGGAATTAAAAAAAGGCCGGCTCTCCGCCGGGAAGAATTAAACGCCCGAGTGCGGCAACTTCGCTAGTGGGCCCAGCATATTTTTTATTTATTTTAATGATTAAATAAATAACTTGTATAATTACTACAATGCCCTTCATTAAAATGAATTAATCTTAGCCATTAGATTTTAATGAGGTGGAAGGGCTAAGATTCACTTAGTCATGTGACTAAGCCCCTCCCCCTAGTTACCTGATCCTAGCCCGGGATTATCCCCAGCCTCCGTAGGGCGGCGATAGCAACAACGAGCATAGAGGAGGAAGCAGCTCTCATAGCAGACAGTACCGTTCCGACCTCGCCTCCTGCTAGGTCTCGGCCTCGCTCCTGGTTCCGCCGACGGTCTCCTCCTGCCAGGTAGAGTGCCAAGGATTCTGAATGACTCGCCCTCGTGTAGGCATCAGAAGAGAATCAGCACCCTCGTGTAGGTATCAGAAGAGAATCAGCAAGGGATGGTGGCTACAATCTCGACATGCCCTCCTGCTTGCTTAAGCAGGCAGGTATCTTAGTAGAAGGGATGTGGATGTGGATGTGGATGTGGATGTGGATGTGGATGTGGTGGACGAGTTGGAGGGGCAGCCGCTTTTGCCAAGTTGCTTGTGGGTGGAAAAGTAAAGGCTGTGAATTGCTATTAGGGGTCTTGGGGCTTAATTAATTAGAGGATATTTTGGGAATCTCACAATTACGTGTGAGTTTAATCCGAAATCCCATTAACGTCCATAACTTCCTCGGTTTATGTCCAAATTTGACACCGCTTAAACCGACAGTTAACATTTTTAGTCCTCATTGATATTACGGTGGATATAATAGTCATTTTAATTTTTGGGAAGAGTGGTGTGTAACATGTTGAATGTCATGTACCTTAAGAAAATATTTTAGCTTATCATATTTTTCGGCACAGAGATTGTAACTATGAAATCCAAAATTGGTTTCCAACCAATGACTTGAACTAAGGAAAGATAATAGAAACAACATACTTGTTTCAAAGGAAACAACTAGATACATTTAGTCAAATGATCGAAAATAGTCAAACAATGATGAAAAGCATTGACATATGGGATAGGAGAAGAACCTGAAATTTCTAAATATATGAGTTATAATAGTAACATAGACAATGAATGATCAACGAAAGTAAAGCAGCGACTCTTGTCACAAGTCACGACAATATGACTGCCAAGTGGATGAAGGAAGGAGGATGAGATAGCGAGCTATGTAGGAATGATAATGGGTTTAGAGCAGCCCACCCTAATCGATGCACAAGTTGGGTTAGGAATCGTCCCATTTAGAAACGAGTTAGGTCAGACATGGCCCAAAAAGGGATGGGTTGGGCCAACCCATCGGGTATGGTCAATATTTTCATCCCTAGAGTTATGCAACGAATCATCAAAGAGAGTAAGACACAGTCTTGCTACGATAATCATTCACTTACTAGAGAAGATGGATGGCTTACGAAATCAGTCTACACTCCATTTTCCTAACCCCAGCCTCCCACACAATTCTCAACCCTTGAACAATACCTTGCAAGCTCTGCATGAATTATAGATCCACCACCCAGATGTACTGCAAAGGCTCGAACAAAGCGCCTTTCAACTGTCTATAGCACGCCTCCAGCAGTCATGCTACCCTGCGTTAGAAAAACTGATCTGACAGTATTCAAACCAAGCCATCCCCTTTGTGGAGTTTGCAACTGATCAACTCCATTCTGCGAGCCCCCGCATTCCCCATGGCCAACGCTTTCTCAAACGCCCACCCCGTCTTCTGGTGAAGAGCCTTAATCCGCTAAATTAACTGAGTAGTCGACGTCTGCTTGCCTTCAAATACGTGCAGATCCTGATTCTTTCATAAAGAACCGCAGAAGATTGCAAAAAGGGAATAATATGAGAACCATGCTTGATTTGTATCTGGTTAGTTGGTTCAATATTTGGTTGTTCGATTCGGAATAGTCTAAACCGAATATCGAGTATTGACCAACACTCTTCCGCATTTTGACTCGAGAGTCATGCGTGTTTGGTTCAACAAACCAAATTGTCATCAATTCTGTCTAATCTTATTCGGGTTTACCAAATTGAATGTTCATCCCTAACGCTCGCCCAAACACAATAACAGTCATACATTTGGCAAACACTAGCAGCCATGTCAGCAATAAAAAAGAAAAACAAACCAAAATCATTAAAATAATTATAAAATACGACTGAAGATTTGGTGGACCCTTTTGACACACGAGGGTTTGATTCAGTCCAACATGAGCTCCCAGCCAATCAGAAAACTAGATTGTGATAATTTGATAAATGAATTAAAATTTCTCCCCTTCCTCTCCCTCTCAGGTGCCGTACACCAGAAAATCCCAGTAATTAATTACTCCATTTTACCTACGTAAAAAAAAAAAAAATTACTGCAGCTTGTATACCCGTAGAAAAGGCTGGTGCTGCCTGCCTGGTGACCAGTGAGCTCTCCTCCTCCTCCTCCTCCTCCTCCTCCTCCTCTTCTTCTTATCTCCGCTCGCCATCTCTGCGCCGGCGCCTCCTCGTTAGGGCTCCTCCCTCTTTTCACTTTCTTTCTCCCACCGCCATTTCTGTTCCAGTCTAAAAGCTGTGATTTTTTCCACCTTCCTTGGCTATTTGAAAATAAAAAAAGATAAAATGAAAATAAAAATGGCAGCGCTGGTTTGGGTTTGGCGGTTTTGATCGCTCAACATTTTGCGCTCACTCCCAATCTCTCTCTCTCTCTCAGCTCCCCCCGTAGATATCTCGTGATATTTGACGATATGGGTCTTCCTTTACTCGATCTGGGGGGAGATCTCCTACTCACATTATGCCTCTCCTTCTCTCTTATCTTCTTCCCGCAGCGCCCACCCAGTCCTCAAATGTAGAGTGACCTCCCTTTTTGGCTAGCTCCATTTTTGGATGCCGGATGTGGGTTTGTCTTTGTTTGTAATGGTTCATTTATTCTTTCCCCCAAAATTCTCTCTCGCTCTGTAATTTTTTTCTTGCTATGGGTTGATCAAGGGGCCGCCGTCTCCAGCTCTGTTTCCGTTTTGATCGTCTCCATATTTCTGCATTCCTTTCGATTTCGGCTTGCTGTTTTAGTCTTTTAGCTCTCTGCAAATCAGAGTTCCGTTGAGTTCACCGGAGGGAGAAGAAAATCTCAAGCTGGATAGTTGTTCTCTGTCATTTGTTGAAGGTAATTGGAGCGATTCTTCTCAATTCTATCTCTCTCTCAAGTTCTGATCTTACTCTTACGACTTGCTTTCAGCTCAGTTTGGAGTTTTGCTTTAGTTTCTGTGACGGAGTAACGACTGCGCATTTCTCTCGTTAACCTCCTCCATTGATGCTCTGCATTGAGCTCTGTATCTATTGAAAGCGATAGTCCGTTCATAAATCTGATGTTGCATGTGTGTGATGATTGCTCGATTACGCGCTTTCTTGTGTGTTTTAGAGATTTTCTCGAGCCTTGAGCTCCGATTACCGCGTTTTTGCTCCGGAAATGGCTGCATTTTGAGTTCTGACTGTCTGTCGATTTTACAAGGATGTAGGTTTTTCTGACTCGTTCACTGACTCAGTTCTCAGGCTGACGTGATGACGAATGGTGGCGAGGAAAAGAGAAAGTCGAAGACTCGTGGAGAGTCTTCGGGGAATGAAGAAGGGAGTAGTGTGGGGAAATGTGATGCAGCCATTGGTCTAAAGAAGGGGCCATGGACTTCTGCAGAAGATGCAATCCTGATGGAGTATGTTACAACTCATGGAGAAGGAAACTGGAATGCAGTCCAGAAGCACTCTGGACTGTCTAGGTGTGGGAAAAGCTGCAGGCTGCGTTGGGCAAATCATCTGAGGCCCGATTTGAAGAAAGGAGCGTTCTCTCCTGAGGAAGAGCGGCTTATTATTGAGCTGCATGCAAAGATGGGCAACAAGTGGGCTCGAATGGCTGCCGAGGTAGGTAGATCTTCTTCTCTCAAATGGTTGTAGTGCTATGCTGTCATTGAAGTGTGGATGGGTTAATGGCATTACAGTTCCCTTATTGTTTGTCATTCTGTTTCACACCTTACAATTATCTAGTAGTGTTGTTGAAGTAGAGTTATACTTCCCAATTTGGTTAGAGTTCAATCTTTGTTGTCTTCATTAACCATGATTGAGAAAGAGAGAGGGCATGTTGCATGACAAATAATGCAACAATCTTAGAACTGGAAATTCGCGATCCGGTGATGATATTGATCACTAGGCCTTACTGATGATCAGCATCAATCTTATCAGTAAGACACCACGAGTTGCCGAAGTGAAAACTTCTAGAACCGAACTCTGGCTATATCCTATATGATGTTCTGGAATATGTTCAAATTACAAATGAATCTCAGGCTTCTCCTCCATTTCTTTATTTGGTTACTGTTCTTGTTCTTCCTGCCTTTTTCTGGAATCTGGGTTCCTGTTTGCTATAAGATTGATGTAACAAAGCAGTCTAAGGGACCTGATGCTGACATTGTGTTTGTTTCCTGTACTGCTGTACATATAAGACTGCATGTGCATATTTAATGGTTGAGCTAATAGATTTGTATTGTAGCATCATTCAGACATTATCATTCGACCATCATATGGTAGCTTTCGTTTTTATACTCACATGTGAGTAACCTATTTGTCCTCCGTAACTTTTTTTCCTCCCCTTATGCTTAAGTTGACAATGGAGTGTATCCATAATTTCTCTCTAAAAGTTTAGCCACTTAACTTGTATTTTAAGTTAACGACTAACCTGAACATATGATGAAAACAACTGCCATAATGTGCTGTTTGTGTCTGCTGCCATATGGTAACTTATGAGCTTATTCATCTATAGTAGACTTTAAGTGTACCAGTGACTTTGTTGTTCAAGGGACTTGTTATCTTTACATTCTTGGATGGATATGTGATGTTTCTGCAAAGCTCATTGGATTTCGGGGAAAGCTTGTATGTACTGATCCTCTATAGTCTATATGGACCTTAGCAAAATAAGTCATGTAATTGTTTGGTTTGCGGGCAATTTAGCTTATGCTATGAGCTAGGTCACTCTATCCTGCTGCAAAAGCATGTTGGTAATCTAGAGTAAATACTGATTCGGCGATTGACTTCAATAGCATTCTGCTTTAGAATAATTTAACTTCTGCATTTCCTGAGGTTGGCATGTTGTCTTTCTTCTTCCACAGTTGCCTGGACGGACAGATAACGAGATAAAAAATTACTGGAACACAAGAATCAAAAGACTGCAACGTGCTGGACTCCCAATCTATCCTCCTGAGATATGCTTGAAAGTTCTTGAAGGAAATCATCAAGCTCAATGCATGGATACAAATGGGACAAATGGTGGTGATCCAGTGCAGAAGGATCACAGAGAGATCCCAGAACTGGTCTTCAAAAATTTCAAGATCAATCGGGGAGTTCTCTCTTATCTGCCAAACCTTCTCGATGTTCCAGGAAGCAACATTATGAAACAAGATGGTTTTGGTTCAAGCAATAACTATGCCTTCATGCTCCCAACACTACCAGCACCAAAGCGACTCAGAACAGCAACAGAAGACTGCATTTTCCCTGCTGTAGTAGATACTGGTGGTGTCAGCAGTGGCCTCCCACCAAATTTCAGTCAGCTTACTACAGACTATGCTGCTAGTGAGAGGATCCCAGACCCATTTGGTTTATCCTCTCCATATGATCCTTCTGATGTCAATATTACTACTTATGAGGGGCAGCCCCCATTTGCTGCTCTTCCAGGCAGTCATGCCTTCTTAAATGACGACTCTTCTTCTTCTGAGCCCATATCCGGGGCGATGAAGTTGGAGCTCCCTTCACTCCAATATACAGATACTCATCAGCTGGACAGCTGGGGGGCGATGACCCCAACGGCTTCCCCTTTGCCTTCAGTTGAGTCTGTTGATACTAATACTTTTATTCAATCTCCTCCACCGACGACAGAGCAACCTGAGTCGCCGGGTTGCCTTTCGCCAAGAAGCAGCGGTCTCCTGGAAGCAGTACTCTACGAATCACTGACCCTCACAAACATGAACTGCTTAGGGAACAATCAGGCTTCCGTGGCTGCTTATATGGAACCCCACTTGCCTTTCGATTCCAGGAAGAGAGATTGGGGAATTCAAGCTGACCCTAACTCGCCATTGGGTCATTCTGCTGCATCAGTGTTCAGTGTGTGCACGCCCATGAGTGGAAGCTCGTCTGACGAACCAGGTAAAACCCCACCTCTATAGTTATTACTTGCACAGATACATCATACTAATTAACTACATGTTTTAATATATGCTCCACTTACAATAGAACATCAACTATTTACTATTACACATTGGATGTAGGGTGTGAAATGAAGCAGGAGATGGGGAGCCAAGTATCATCCCCGTATGGGGAAGAGAAGCAAGCTGCTGCAGCAGCTGCTGCTGCTGCAGACTGCATGCAGATAGATTTCAACAGGCCAGATGTGCTACTTGGCTCGGGCAGCTACTTCGGATTAAGCTATGGTGGTTGCGTCGAAAAGGGTGAACCACCTGCTACTGCTCAAACTGATGCGGCAGGGGGCGGTTGAAGCCTGAAGGTAGTAACAAGCAACATGAGCCAAGCAAGAGAACAGTAGCAAACCAGGGTGCAAACGGCGTGTGGATGGATTAAGAATAAGATCGTTTGTCTACCCGTGTTTGTTGGATACAATTTCGAGCTTTTAGTTGTTTAGTCAACTAGGAGTGTGTTTTGGTTTGGTTTCCATCTGTGAATACCGAATTGTTATTGTTCTATGAGCCATATGCATGTTATCTGGAAAACTTTCCAATGGGGATGGATAGTCTTTTGCAGGATAGTGAGGTAGATGTTCCTGTCTCCAGTGGGATGGATGCTTTTGGCTGATGTCCCATTTTATCGTCATGTTTGGAAGAACAACTGTCCCTTTTGCTTTTTTTTTTTTTTTTTTTTGGATCTTTCAACTGGACTGGAACAAAACAAGGGTATCCTCTCCAAAAGGTCCCTGTCTGTTTACCCTTTATTTTATCTACCTTAGCTATCAGGGCAACCTTTCCACAAAGAACAGGACTTGCAAAAATATTATACCTCAAAAGTTTGTACTAAATAGTGAATGGGATAGAATAGCAACCCAGGCAAAAAAGATTATCTTAAATTTTAATCCTCAAAATCAAACATATAGTATAGTTAATTTTAGTTACTAACTGCATCATCACTTGCGGGGATAGCTCAGTTGGGAGAGCGTCAGACTGAAGATCTGAAGGTCGCGTGTTCGATCCACGCTCACCGCATTTTTATCTCTGGTTTCCTATTGAACGAACTTTTGCAGGCTGCTTGGCCCATTTTCTGTGGGCCGGGCTACTATTTACTTATCACACGGACTTGCAGTTGGCTGCGTTTGGCCCATTTCTTGTGGGCCGGGCTACTAGTATCTTATCACACGTCTTGCAGTTGGCTGGCAAACTCAGTTGCTAGGATTTGTTTGACACTATTGTTAATCTGCTACTTTCTGTTGCGTTTTCTTCTCATCAATCATTGCTTCCTCAATGCAGTTTTCAACCACTGGATCATGGAAGCCAAGATTATTGTGAAATACGGTCAGATTTATCATGATGATTGTTGAAGTTTGCAATATCCACCAACTCATCAACATCGTCCTCATGAGTGATCGAACAAAAGCATAAATAACTAATCATAAAGACGCCCAACCATCACTGATCACACTACCATTACCATAGTAGATTAGCTAGTAGTTGAGCAATTATTTTATTCAAGTTGTTAATCCTAGAAGGCTTTACATGAAAGCTGGATAACAAAGCCAATCATTTACATATAATAACTTGAACAATAAACGGGAAAAAAAAGGGAGATATCCCCTAATTATAGTTACACTTCTGGTCCTGCCGCCACTTCTGGACCACATCCGACAGCGCCTTGCTCGAACAACCTTCCGGAGCCGTCATCACAACCCTCGCCGCCGCTTCCTTCAATTCCTTCATCCGATAACGCGCCTTCTTCCCTTCTTCCCCTTCCATCAACCTCCTCACCACGCCGGCGATCTCCTCCCTCCCAATCAACCCATCCTCCCCCTTCCTCGGCCTCAACGCCACCTTGATGTCCTCCGCCAGCATCACCGCATTCATCTTCTGCTCCGCGTACAGCGGCCACACGATCAGCGGGACCCCGTTCACCACGCTCTCGAGCGTCGAGTTCCACCCGCAGTGCGTCAGGAACCCTCCCGTGGACCCGTGGCTCAGCACCCGGGCCTGTGGGGCCCAGGACGAAACCACGAGCCCCCGGTCCCTGGTCCGGTCCAGGAACCCCTCGGGCAGGAACGGGAACGGGTCGCTCTCGGACCGGACCGTGAAGAACGAGGCGTTCGCGGTGCGCTCGTCCGGGCTGCGAACCACCCACAGGAACCGCTGCCCGCTCGCCTCGAGCCCCGTGGCCAGCTCGGTGACCTGGTTGTACGAGAGGGTCCCGCCGCTCCCGAACGACACGAATAGGACCGAACCGTGAGGCTGGCGGTCTAGCCAGTCCAGGCAAGAATCGGATCTGGTCTGGATTTCGCCCATGTTGACCAACGGCCCGACCGGGTAGACCGGCGGTCGCTGAATCTTTTCTCGGAGATATTTAATTGGCCCCGGCTCCAATTCGGGGAAGCTGTTCACCATAACGCCCTCTGCCAAACGGTACCGTTTGGAGTGGTGGAGCAGCCACTTGTAGGCGTCGTTGCTCCGGTCCTGAACCGGGTCGAGAAGGTCGGAGCCCCGGATGGGTATGCATCCGGGTATTTGAACCGGCTCCTCTAGATCTGAATAAGGGGAAGTGACCGATTCGTCGAGCTTGGGGAGATGGAGGAACAGAGAGAGCGCCATGGCGGTGGAAGGGAAGAAGATGTACGGCGCGGCGCCGAATTCGACGGCGGCGTCGAAGGCGTCGGTGCCGAAGAGGTCGACGACGAGGGCGGAGAAGCGGCGGCTGGCGGAGGAGAGGGTGGAGCGGAGGGAAGGGAGGGAGCGGGCGACGGTGATGGAGATGATTGTCTCGATCTTGGCGTCCGGGGGGACGTCGGAGAGGGAGACGGGTGGGAGGAAGACGTAATCGACGGCGGGGGAGGGGAGGGAGTCGAGGACGGATTTCACGGCGGCGGGGGGAGGGCCGTCGGCGGTGGGGACGATGAAAGTGACGGAGAGGTTGTGGTTGTTGACGAGGCGCTTGGCTAGCTCGACGAGCGGGATGAGGTGGCCCATCCCCGGGCTGGGCAGAATTGCGATGCGTGGGGATTGAGTTTCCGCCATGGAAGGGATCTTGATTTGGTTCGGAGAGGGAATTGGGATTTTTTTTATCGGAGAGAAGGAGGCGAGGGGGAAAGGCTAGATAACGACGAAGGAGAAGAGCTTAGAGCTGTGTAGTTTTATTGATGAGCTGGGTAAACATGATAAATGCTTCAATTTCGGCCATACGAATCTCACAACTAATAAAAACTATTTGAGTATTTCTTTGTAAAAAAAATCTAGAAGATGCGTTATTTGGGTTGTTGGCGGCCACTATGAAAGAAAAGTTTGTTTTTTTAATTATTTATTGTCAACTATAAAAGAATAAATTGGACCTTTCAACTATGTGCGTTGGTGTGGTCATGCACTCATACGTCATACGTGGGTATTGTTGACGCACCCACATATCCACCGGTTTGGATTGCATGGTTTTTTTTTTTACAATAAGTCTCTGCATTCCCATAAATCAGAGCAAGGTTACACGATTGGTAGCAAAATATTAAGGACTGCAATCCAGTCTTCCGAGAGGTGGTTTTTTGCCCTTGATCGGGCCACCCAGTTGGCCAGTACATTATGCTTTCTCTTGACAAAAATCACCTTCACGCCATGGAGGCTTTGGAAAATATCACGAATAGCGTCAATACGTGCTGCAATAAACCACGGCCATTTGTGTCTCGGCCCCTCAATCGCATCAACCAGCACCTTACAATCCGACTTGATAATGCATGCCTAGGAGAGTGATTGGGCGAACTTACATCCTTCAAAAGTAGCTACCGCTTCTGCTTCCAACGCTGACTCGCAGAGCAGGGAATCGGCCCTTCCTTCGTAAACCTCACCATGGGTATTCAGAACAACGAACCCATATGCCGCCTCCCGGGAATCATCAAAATACGATCCATCACAGTGAATCTCCTCTCGGTGACTACATGGCGGTGGTGTGGGGTGGGAAGGAGGTGGATTGGGCCGACAGGGCACACCATTCTCTTCTCTTCTAATCTTTGGGCAGTTTTTCCAGAAGAGGAACTCATTCATAGCCTGGGAAATGGTGTGTGGTGGCCAAGGTGGCCGGTTCCTAAAGATCTTCGCATTTCTGGCTTTCCAAATATTCCACAGGATAAAGACTGCATTCTGAGGACCCTCCTGTGGCCAAGCTTCCCCAACTTCCCACAGCCAGAAGTTTACTCTTGTCGAGGGTGGAGGGAGGGGGAGAGAGGGGGCAAGACGTGTCCATGTTTCCTTTGCATGAGGGCATTCGAATAGGACATGAAAAATGGATTCCTCCTCAGCCCTACACAACGGGCAAGCCTTAGACCCTGAACAGTGTCGCTCAAACAGATTTTTCTTGGTGGCAAGGGCACCTCTTAATGCTTTCCAAATGAAGAAAGTGATCTTTGGGGGTAGATTCAAACTCCACAGCCATTTCCATCTTTCCTTCTCCCATTGTGATATCCCTGGCATTTCTGTAGATCCCCATCGGATAGTATCATGGAAAGCCCGATACGCAGATTTTACCGAGAACTCCCCATTAATTGTGAATCTCCAAGCCCAGAAGTCTTCCATACCCTGTGAGCCAATTGGGATTCTACATATGGCTTGCTGAACCTCATCCGAGATACTATCCTCCATTCCTGAAAGATTCCATGAGCGGCTCTCCTAATTGATCAGCTCCTCAACTCTTCTATCTTCCTGGTTCAAGCTATGGATGGTATAGCCAGGGGAGGTGGTTATCCATGGGTCTTTAAAGATATTTGTTCCTCGTCCATTCCCAATAACCTTCACTATCCCCTTCATGAGCCATTTCCTAGTTTCACATAGGCTACCCCAGATCCATGAAGCCCGGCTGCCTTTCTTTACCCCCAAGAAATCTCCTCTTGGGAAATAAAGCCCTTTCAGAATTCTTACCCAGAGAGCTTCTGGTGAGCTTATCACCCTCCAGGCTTGTTTTGTGAGTAGAGCTAGGTTTACAACCGAAAAGGGTCTGAAACCCAAACCTCCCTCCTCTTTGGGGGCATATAGAACATTCCCCGCTCTCCAGTGAATTGTTTTCTTTGTCGTTGATCCCGACCAGAAGAACCTACAAAGCATTCCATCCATCTTATTTGTAGTTGCTTGAGGGAACAAGAAAATAGTCATCAGATACGTCGGGATTGCTTGGAAGACTGATTTAAGAAGGACCTCCTTGCCTCCTGCCGAGAGTAGGAGGCTCTGCCAACTTTCTCCTTTCTTTTCCATTCTCTCAATCAGGAAGTGGAACATTTCTTTCTTCGATCTTCCCCAAGAGGTCGGGATTCCCAGGTATTTGTCATGGTACACTCCTTCCTCAAATCCCAGGGCTTCCCTAATAGCCTGTTTTTCCTCTTCCATCACGTTGAGGCTAAAAAACACTGAAGATTTGGTCGGGTTGATCTCTTGTCCTGTGACCGCTCCATAATCCTTCACAATAGTCATCAGACTAGAAGCTTCCCCTTCTGATGCTTCCCCAAAGAGAACCATATCATCCGCAAAAAGGCAGTGGGTGAGTCTAGGACAGAAATGGTTCAATTTTAGGCCTTTTATAAGTCTAGCCTCAATCGACTTCTCCACAAGAAAGGATAAAGCGTTTGTCATTAGAATGAAGAGGAGTGGGGAGAGGGGGTCTCCTTGCCTTATTCCTCTTGATGGTAGGAAGCTCTGGGAGGGTGAACCATTGAAAAGGACCTGGAATTTGACTGTTGAGATGCACTCTTCAATCCAACTGCACCATTTGTCAGAAAATCCATAAGCCTTTAGAAGCTGTAGAAGGCACTTCCACTCAACTAAATCATACGCTTTCTTCATGTCAAGCTTTAGCATCATATCTCTTTTGCGGCCAGTCTTGTGTTTCTTGAAATGGTTCAGTACTTCATGCACAATAACGATATTGTCCTGAATCTGCCTTCCCCCTGTAAAAGCCGACTGCACTTCATTGATCAGCTCAGGCAGCCATCTCTGGATTCTGGTCGCCAGGATCTTCGTTATGACTTTATACCTGAAGTTACAGAAGCTTATTGGTCTGAAATGGCCCATTTCTTCTGGAGCATCAGTCTTTGGGATGATGGTGATGAAAGTATCATTCCATCCTTCTGGAATTTTTGATGTCCTGAAGAACGATCGAATTTCCTCGCAAAACTTGGACTCACAGATGTTCCAGAACCGTCGAAAGAAATGGCCTGGGAAGCCATCCGACCCAGGGGCTTTGCTTGCACCCAAGGAGAAAATCGCTTCTTTTATCTCCACATTAGTCAGCTCCTTTCCCAGGTCTGAGTTCAAATCATCTGAGACCAGCTTGGGGAATCCTTCCAAGTCAAACCGTAATTCATTGATGTCTCTAGCCTTGAAAAGGCTACGATAGAAATCTGTGGCCATGTGCTTAAGAGTTTCCTGGTTGTCAATCCAGTCTCCTTCCCCATTTTTTAGTCTGTTAATCCGATTAATCTTCTTCCTCTGAATGCATGCCGCATGGAAAAAAGCCGATTAATCTGTGGCCATGTGCTTAAGAGTTTTGGATTGCATGGTTGACGAGTGAGTTTGTGAAATTTGTTTATTTATCGTGGTGGTAAAATCGTATTAGTAGCTAAGATTATATTGGGTAAATTAATAATAGAAAGTTTATATTGATTAATAGAGTAATATGGTCACACTGTTTTATCGGGATAGATTACGATGACAACCTCATTGTAACAATCTACCTTTATATCATATATGTTTTTTCTCTTTTTAAAAAATGGAAGGTCAAGATTGCTCTGTGTAATTTTAGAAACAACAAATCTGGTGCATTTGGTCACTTTCCTTTCATGTTTGACTTTCCCTCTTCATTTATCGCCCTTACACCTAACGATTCACAGTCCTCTCTTTCTTTCCCTAACCGTCTCTCCCCCTCATCATATTCTCTCTCTGTCTTTCATCCACCGGTAAAACTTTTTCCTATACCTCATACTCTCTCCGTCTTCCCTCTGCCAACAAGTACCTCCACCTCTCCATCGTATTCCTCACATCGACGGTGTTAGGAACGGAACAACAACAAGAACGATGTTATCGAATCTGGAGCTGAGTCGCGGACTAGGTCGCTCTCTTTAATACGTTCGCGGCACTGCCCTCGATGCGCACGGCAGACTATCAACCGGTCGTCTCCAGGATAAAATAGCTCCTCTCTGTACTCGCGGTTTTGTGCGAAAACCGGAGCTCTCTGAGCACTCTCTCTATTGTGTTTATGCTCGTTGTGGTGTGTTTAGAGGGGCTGGGGAGGCTGCTATTTATAGGAGCCGAACCCCTAGGAATATACCCTCTAGCTTGGGGAATAAGTCGGATTAATTAAGGAAGATAATTACTTTCTTAATTAAAAACCGTCGGTTAAGATAAATCCTACGTAAATTATCCTTCGAATATTCCTTTTTAATCGATTATCCTTACAATATTCCTCAGAATAACCGATTAATAATTAATTATTAGATAATTAATTTCGTTTGGAATTTCTCCAAAAAAATATAGTCTCAAGTGAACCAACCAACTAGGGTGGGCATCCGGTTCAGGTTTACTCTTCCGAACCGAGCCGAACCGATCCCGAACCGACCAAAACCGAAATTAACACTAATCGGTTCGGAATTCGGAAGGCAAAAAGCCATATTTCGGAAATCAGGGTTGCACGACCGAACCCGAATTCTGACCAACCGAACCGAATTCCGAACTAAAATATTCAACCCACCATACATACTAACCAACCAAGCCGAACTCATAGACCAATCTCTCACAGCCCGATTTCTCCTACAGCCCAGCTCACAAATTCCTAACCCTAATCACCTTCATCTCAACCTGCCTCCCCTTCAACGCACAGCTGTCGGCGCTCGACATCCCCCATCGCCACTCACTGATCGACCCCCTTTCCATTTCTAAGCCCTCCGTTTGATCTCGCCACCAAAAACCTACAAAACATAGAACGAAGCACATCCATAGAAAAACCACCATCAATAGTGAATCAATTGATGCAAGAACAAGCATAGGCAAAATCC